CTTTAAGAGCGTTTAATTGTTCACAGGTATTGAGACTACCTCCAAAGACATCTAATAAAAATAATCTTTGGGAACTGGGTCTGGGCCATTCCCTTTAAGAGTAAGAGGATCCTTCCACATAGCTGTGGCATAGTTTTATTGGTCTCGGTGATGCCAGAGACAGTCAGAAGCAGATTTGGCATGAGCTTTCAGTTTTAGAGAGTTAAGAGTGAACAAGGCATGATGGAGAGTATTTTGAATTGTTGAGGGAAATTAGGATTTACATCTCTCTTGAGAACATTAAACAGAGACTTAAATTCTTTTGTGGAGAGCTTAAAATAAGATCTTAGCCAATTAGCATCTCCTAGAAACTTTAGAAAATAATTTGAAATAAGTAAACTCTCTCTTTTTTCCCCATCCATTATCTGTTTTTTTATTGGATATTTTCATATTTACCTTTCAATGTTATCACCTTTCCCATTCTCCCCCAAAACCCCTTATCCCAAACCCCTTCCTCCTATTTTTTATGAGGGTGTGCTCCAAACACAATTTCAGTCCTTCTAAGATCCTGTTTTACTCCCTAAGGCTAAAAAGGAACTGTAACATTCAGTTGTCCAGCAGGGTTTGATGTTTCTACTAAATAAAAGCTTGTATTTTGAATTTAGACTAAATGCTCCTGTCACTCATGAGTATGCTGCAAGGCTGCAAATTTTCTTATACAGTTGCAACAAAGACAGGATGTATTCGAATGAAATAAGAATAAAATATAGAATCATATTTTTGTCAAAGATGTTTCTTATAGATTAATTCTCATAGATATCTGAGGTTAGTTTTTAAAAGGTTTTACAAACATAACATCTCAGAAGAGTTTCAGCTGCATACATATTTACTTGTTTCTTTCAATGTAAACCATTTACATACATCAATCCTCTCATAAATCACTGTTTGACTTAGAAACACTTATTTTTATTTGATGTATGTGTGCGTTTTGACTGCATGCATGTTTGTGCACATGTGCATACCATAATCACAGACACCAGAAAATGAGTAAGATCCTCAGTCACTGAAATTGTCAGCCTCCATTTTGTGCTGGGATTTGGACCTGAGTCCTCTGTAAGATTAGCCAGTGCTTTTAATCATTGAGCCATTTCTTCAGCCTCCACTTCTGATTATTCATATTTTTGTACAATGAAAAATTATTATTTGGGTTATGGAACTAAGCCAAGTGTAAAGCATATTCTTCATGTTGCAACTTTCAAAAACAAGAATTTACACCAATATACAATGTTTTTCTTTCCAACACCCCCAACCATTAATTTCTTTATCCCATTAATTGATTTTTAAGAAAAGTAAGGGAAGACCATGGCTCTAACATTTTCCCACCATCTTGCTCACAGTGAGTGATGTTTGTTGAGGGAGGTAGTGGGTTCCCTTTTATTGTCATTAATTCCTCTATAAAGCTGAGCTGTTCTCTATTTCCATGAACCAGAAATTTCATTAGTTAGCCTCACTAACTGTGAAACTCGATGAGTAATTTTAGGGAAACCAGGCCTAATTATGGCTTTTATTATACATTATCAGTTATGTTGGGGTTCTCAAGTCAGAGATTACATCATCATCTCATTTAGTCAGTAGTCTAGTAACCACGATCTGGGCAAAGCATTAGAACAAGTTCGATATGAGTTTAGAAAACACTGTCAGGTGACAACTGCTTGAAAATAAGTTCACAGAGAAACTCTAGCCAAAGGTAGCATATCATGCTAACAAATTGTGTTTAGCTAACTTAGTAGAGAAAACAAATTTAAAGCAGGGTTTGGTGGTGAAAACCCCTGTGAGATAGAGGCAGGAGGATCAAGAATTGTCTTCCTCATCTACATAGCAAATCTGAGGCTACTCTAGGGGACATGAGAACAGGTCTCAACAAAACAAACAAGAAATCCAGAAGGAGGCCAGTTACACAGTTCACGTATGAAAATACTTGCTATGGAAGCATCAGTATCTGAGCATGAGTTTTACTTTGGGTTTGAGTTCCATTGGAACCCAGAGTAGAAGGAAATGCTTATCTTGCAAAAATGTCCTGTGAACTACACACACACACAAACACACACAAAATGACAACAATAATAAATATCTAAAATTTTAAAAACACAGAAGTGAAGAAGAAAAGGAGGGTTAGAAAGGAAGGAAGTAGGAAAGAAATAGAATTGTTTGATATGATAAAAATCACAGTTGTTTTAGAACTCTCCTCTTTTACTCAGAGCAGGGGATTCTATCTCAAAATAGTCAGTTCTCTTTTAGAACCCTTCAACATTTGAAAATATAGTCCAAGGCCAAAGTAGCTCTATGCTGAACTAAGTCCTGAGTTCCTTCACCTTGACTCGAAATTCAGTGGTTTCTCTTGTCACTTCCTATTCACCCTCTTTTCTTTTATTTCTTCTGTTGACTACCCTCAGAATTCACTTCAAAAGACAAAGCATAGGGTCTTAGTCCCAGTTTCTGGAACACTGGCAGGATCTGGCCCTAAGGTCAGCACATTGAAGCACTGATTAGAAAGATAGTAGGCAGCACTTGCTACAGCTCCTCCACTAGGAAGGCCTTGACAGCTTGGTGACCCTGTCGCTCTCAACAGACCCTCCTTCAGCTACCTCTTGTGGTGGCTGCCTGAACAAAACATTACATCCGTAGTGTTTGCTGCAGGAGCCCAGCCCAGGAAGTCATAACAGGACAATAGACATACAATTTGATAACCTTGTTAGCTCAAATCAAAGTTTCCAACAAGTAGGAGATGTTATTGAAGTGGAATAAAACCATTGTGATATTTGAGGTGTTGACGTTGCTTCTCACATATTTTTCCCTTTAGAAAAAAAAAATGTAGCATTTCTTGTCCCTTTATTTAAGATTAAAACCAGTCACAAGGACATGAAACAAAATAACATGTACAAGGTTAAGGTTAACTTTAAAAGAATACAAATGGAGAGCGATGTGCAAAGTTCATAATTTTCTTATAATGGGAAAATAGCACAAAACTACTTGCTTTGTGCTGTGAAATCTCTGGGAAAATGTGGTAAATATGGAATAATCTTCTTTATCCTGAGAAATTTGAGTACGTGATTTACTTTGAGAAAACGATAACAAGTAATGAACTCATTTCAGACAGCAGGCCAAGGATGATCAAGGTCTTTCTATTTTCTGTTTTATTTATTTCACATTACAGGATATTATTTCAACACACAGAGAGTTTGCCAGAGTTGATTTTGGCCTCTTATTGTCTCCATTACATGCACTTCAAGCTTTAGAAAACTTTTCAGCTGTTGAAAATATCACTTTAACCTTCTTATCTCCCTACTTTTACAAAAGACATTAACATTTGCTCCAGAACGAGTGATGAAAATGGAGTGTCTTCACAGAACTGCCATCCACTGCCTCCCACTTTCAGCTCCCGAGCTGTGCCATTTAGGAAGTCTTGGAGGAACTAGCACTAATTTTGAAGACATATCTTGGCAATGCTCTCTCTGTGACATGGATAATGGTTCCCATGCCTCAATTTTATCTTCAGTAACACATAACAAAATAATAAATTAATTCATAAAATGTGTATTGGAGGCATTTGGAAATGTCTCTTTTGTATTTTATGCCATTTTAGAGTTAAAACTTGTGAGATTTTCTGACTTGGCATAGGCTTTGATTTACCTTTTACTCTTGTATTTCCTCAAAAGATTAATGTGTCATAGATGGATCTACACCTGCTTTGTTCTTTGAATGTGGCTAAGAGATATTATTGTGAACATTGTATTCAGCTACATTTCAGTACTTTGCTGACTGTCAGTCAAAGTAACAATTTAGTTTGTGTGTGCCTGTGCCTTTTCACAAGTAAGTCCTTCTTTTGTAAGGTTGGAAAGTTTCATTGATAAATATAAATATGTTTTTCTTTAGTAACCTGTATTTGTAAGGAATGATAAAAGTAGCTCTTTTCCAATTAAATATGACTTAGAATATTTGAAAATAATAAAAAGTTCTGCATTTCTTACTCTCTTATCTCTGTAATGATCTGAAACTGAAGGAAAAAATCTTAGAAATAAAATTTGGAGAATAAACTGCTCTCAGAACTCACAGGTTACTAAAATAAAATCCTATGCCAAAGGCTCTATATCTCCTAAGAATAGATGATAATGGAGTTCTCAGCCCCCTCAAACAATACAGACATTGTCACTGCTATTGGTTGCCCACCAGAACTAGATAGCAAGACCTTATCTCTGAAGAAATCAAATGTTCTGGTGACAGGACATGGAGAAATTAATGTAGAACAGGACTGGAAGTTTCCTACATACTGGACAGCTCTAATTACACTACAGGAGGAATGCATCATCAATCAGCTGTAGAGCAGCAGTAATGACCAGTCACACAAGATTTGCCTACTGGAGCAATAGTTTCACAGTTAAGGAAATATACAATTGCTTTCAGATTGGGTCTGGGTCCCACTCTACCTCTGGTACTGTAAGCCTGGTTAAAAGTTCATGATTCAGAAGGTCATAGGCCCTGTTATAGAAGCCACATTTTATTTTTTAAGTTTTTTTTTTGGAAAATGGATATGATATATTTATCAAAATGTAAATAATTATATTTATGTCCATAGATTAATGATGCTGTCAGCTTTGGTCAGAAAAACTGCTTTTTGAAGTGAATTACTGAAGAGTTTCATAATTAATCAAAGTACTGGGAATAAGTGATGCCTGAATCCCTTGCTACAAATGGGACATCTATATGATGTCATCCAAAGTTCAGGAAACATTATAGAAGATGGGATATAACGAATGTAGGAGCTCAGTGTCATCCTCCTGGCTTGTCCTCCATGTCTTTTAGTGGCTCTGTCACCCAGTCCTGCACCAATCACAATGGAGGAAGAAATCATGGAACTCGTCGTTGACAATGGCACTGATATGTGCAAAGGCTGACTTTGGTAATGACCATGCCCACAGAGCCATCTTTCTTTCCATTGTTGGTGCTCCTGACACCAGGGGCAGCCTATCATCAGCAATGAGTGATTCTGCTGTCCAGACACACTCTTTCAACCTTTTTTCCTGGGCATGGAGTCCTGTGGCATCCATGAAACCACCTTCAACTCCATCATTAAGTGTGATGTGGATACTTTCAAGGATTTTTACGTTAATACAGTGCTATCTGGTGGTACCACCATGTATCAAGGCATTGCTGATAGGATGCAGAAGGATATCACAACTTTAGTACTCAGCACAATGAAGATTAAGATCATTGCTCCCCCTGAGCACAACTACTCAGTCTGGATTGGTGGCTCCATCTTGGCCTCATTATACACCTTCCAGCATATGTGGATCAGCATACAGGAGTGTGAGAAGTCAGGCCTCTCCATCATCCACTGCAAATGCTTCTAGATGGACTGAGTACCTGCTAGGGATCTGCTGCATGAGCTGATTCTGAAGTATTGACTTACCCTGGCAAATGTACACACCTCATGCTAGCATCATGAAACTGGAATAAATCTTTGAAAAGAAATTTGTCCTTGAAGTTTATATCTGATATCAGCACTGGATTGTAGACTTATTGCTGATTTTTTAACTTACATTCAAGTTAACTGTTCCTTAGGAATATATTTAATATCTTGAATCAGTCTTTAGTCCATATGGCTTGGTCACTTGGTGTCTGTGGAGAGAAAACTGTGGAAGAGAAATTTCTAGCCTGGTGGAACTTTGTGAGCACCATACAATGATCTGTGCAGAGTATTAATTAACCCATAGCTGACTTCTGTGAGTTCTCAAGGCTGGCAAGGGTTCCTAAACAAGTTATCACTTTGGTCTTGCCTGTCTAACAGGGTGGGAATCTCTGAGCCTTAGGACCCAGTTTCTGTTCTGTTTTTTCCCCTCTTGACCACCATGGCTTGTTACTTGCCCTGAGTTGGGAACATTTGCATTAACAACTATAAATGTATTCATCCTTTTAATTTATATAAGTTTTTTTGCTACTCAATTCTTTAAGAAATAACAAATTTTGGTTTTCTACTGTTCCGTGAGAACATTGGGCCCTAGAACATGTCATTGTGTAAAGAAAAATAAAAGTGCTGCATAAAAATAATGTAAAAACCAGAAGGGCAATATAGTGGTCTGAATGAAAAATGTCCTCTATAGGCTCAAGGATTTGTACCTTTGGTCCTGTTGGTGTCACTTTACAGAGTGGTTATAAGTAAGTGTAGCTTTGTTAGAAAAAAGTACATCACTGTCATATTGGCTTTGAGGATATATAGCCTCACCCTACTTCCAGTTTGCTTTCTCTAATACTCGCATTTCAAGATGTAGGCTTTCAACTTCCTGTTCCTGCCACCATGCCTGATACTTGATTCTGTGCAAGTCATGGTATTTTATCAATGGTAAAATAACTAGTACAGAGGGATTTGGAGAAAGCTAACTTCCAGACATGACATTAACATTGTACCCAAGAAATCACAGTTATAATTAACAGCATTGTATGGGGCTATCAAAATCATGTTATAGAGGAGAGAGGAGGCTTTATCACTCTCTGAGAACTTAAAAGGAGGTGCAAATTTTTTCTTCAATGGAGTGGCCACTACTGTGTCTCTGATCCTGAAAACAACACTTCATACATGCTACTATAAATAATATTGCTGAAGACCTGCCTCAGATTGGGAGAAGGTCCTGAGGAAGAGGTGATGATAACAGCAGAAGAAATGACTTGAAGTCCCTGATTGGTGCAAGCTAACATCTCTATGTTCTGCTAGAGATAGCTGTCTTGCTTGAAATAGCTTTCTGTTCGAGATAGCTCTTTCTTGCAGATTGAAGCCCAGTGTTTTATTTTGCATAAGCTACTTCCTTAGGAATTACATATCAACTCAATCATTTATCTAAGGTTCCTTTTTGATTATCCCATGAATCAGCATTTTATGGCCTTAAACCCTTGACCTTGAAGACAGAGCCACATGGCTAAAGCTACCAAGTTCTGCCTGCTTGCTGGGGCTGGAACATGGTCCCATTGTTGTATTACATTATCACTAGCTTTATGTTTTTTTTCTGTTTTCTAACTCCTTCACTGGCCAAGTTGGCTGTCCTGGAACTTGTTCTGTAGACAGACCTTGAACTTAGAGATATGCATGGCTCTGTCTCCTGAATGCTGAGATTAAAAGCATATACTGCCAAATCTGAACTTAAATCTTTTCTTCAGCTAGAACTTTCTCTGTCCCAGGCTAGCCTTGAACTCAGAAATGAGCTTGTTTTTGTCACCTGGGATTTCAAGTGTGTACCATCATCTCTGGGGCTAAGCTTTTCATGGCCACTATTTCTCATGATCTAGATCAAAAACGTTTGGCTTCCAGCCTCAAGATGTGGATCACAAGTGTGCTCTCTATTTCTGGTTTGTAGTTTATTCCAGAGTAAAAGTCCAGACTATTTCTTATTCAACTGCAAACACAAACAATAAACTTAGCTGGGTGGGATCTTACCCTGAGGACACCACTCCTTAAATCTCTATCTCCTTCCTTAATATCTTTCTGATGAAGCTGGCACATTAGTGCAACTGCTTCTGTTCTTTCAGGATCTGTACCTAAGCTTTTCTTCACCTAGAACTTGCTCAGTCCCAGGTTAGACTTGAACTCAGAAATCTGCTTACCTTTGTCTCCTAGGATTGAAGGAGACAACCATGCCTGAAGCCCTTCATATGAATTTATATTGTATCCTTATATTTTTCATAGTTGAGAAATCTTGTAAAGAACAGTTCTTACATTGATTTATACAGTCTTGAAATCATGTACTCAGAGTTCTTTCCCACAGCCTTAAGGGCTGTTCTGAAGGTCACAGCATTATCATTTTGCTGAGGAATGCCAGACACATTCTTACTTCCTGAGTTGTGCTGTTTCTGATTATCATGGTGTCATTAACCTTGGCAGGGAGAACATTCCCCAAAGGAGGAACATAAAGTAAATATATATTTACATTATTTTACAAACAAGCCTTATTCCCAGAGCAACCTCCAGCACTTGAGAAGACCCAATGCCTGCTGGCTCTACTCCAGGGGCTGGAACCATGTCACACCATCCCTTTCACAGCCATGCTGAACCCAGCATAACATAAAGCTTATTATAAGTAAATGAAACTCATTGGATCATAAAAAATATGTAAGAGTATTTTATAACAATTTCCTCCAAGTTAAAACAGTTCCATTCTGGAGAGAAGACAAAGATTCTAAAAGTCCTAAAGAGAGGCTCATTTTTAAAAAAATTGAAACTCATGAATCTCAAGAAGTCCCTGAAACTGTCCTAATGCTCAAGTGCCCTACATCCTCAAGAATATCTAAACAATAAGGACTGGTAAAGAAACAGAGTCAAGCTGAGGCATCTGGAACAGACTCTGACTTGTTGAGCTCCCTGTAAGCTATAGAGAGTGCTCCAGAGTTGGCACTTTTGTGAGTTGTTACCTTTGCTGGGATAGGCTTTAATTGTGAAGCTATCTTTCAATTATCTATTTTCCTGTATGTAACCTTTCATTCATATTTCTATAAGTAACCCCAATAAAGTCATTGACTCCCCATGAAAAGGGTCAAGCAACAGAAAGTAGAAGGAGGTAAAAGTAGAAAGGAGGTTAGTAATTGTGAAGAAGGAGATCAATAAGAGTAGGAAGGGAAGAAAAGTTAATGAAAAGAATATGATCAAAACACATTATATACATATATGAAAATGTCATAAAGGGCATTGCTTTCGATAATGCATATTCCACTACAGGTAAGGAAAGCATTCTTGTCATAATGACCTAAGTCAGGCTCAGTCTGATTTATGCAATAAAAATGAGAAGTGGAGAGCTTTGGGAGCTGCCTGGCAGGAATCTGACATGGGCCAACGACAAGGAAATGAGCTGCTTGGAAGGAATCTGACATAGGCCAAGGACAAGGAAATGGACTGCAGGCAAGAATCTGACATTAGGCTGGAACAAAGAAGTAATTTCAGGTAGGAATGCAAATCTTAGGCTAGAACAAAGAAGTAATTGCAGGCAAGAATCTAAAACTTAAGCTAGAACAAAGAAATAGGCTTCAGGCATGAAAATGACTTTGGGCTAGGACAGGAAAGTAGGCTCAGATATTTTGGTCATCCTGATAAGCCCTTAGAAATAGTGATCACAGGAGTGATCATGGGACTCTGTTTATTGTCTTGTGTGTTCTTCGATTATCTGATTTTATTGTCTTGCTTGTTCCTTGACTATTTGTATCTATTGTATTGCTAGTTCCTCAAACTAGAACTGACCTTAATACTTGCATGTAATTTAAACAGTATAAAAGCAAAAAAGGAGGAGGAGGAATGGAGTAGGGGATTAATTGGGGGAGGGGAGATGGAGAGAGGGGATTAACATCTGAAATGTAAATAAATAAAATATCGAATTAAAATCCAAAAAATGTCATAATGTAATCCATTTTGTATAACACACTACTCAAAGAAATATAAAATATAATAAAAAGTAAAAATAAAATGTGGAGAATATAAAACTTATTATTACTTTTACATATGTAGTGGCTATGTAGTTCCCATTCAACAAGATTATTGGAGGAAAATTGAAACAAACATCAGAGTACAAAAAAAATTATTTTATAAGTTTAATAATCATTTATATACATGTGCGAAATATTCCAATGATTACTTGACAACTATATAAATTAATTTTCATTATGACAGTCAGGTGTTAAATATTAATTTTATATCTCTTAGTTTTGAATGTTTTCAATTTAAAAACATATTTTTATGTGCCATCCCAGTCAATGTTTTACCTAGAAATCTGTAAATGTATTGAATAAATTCAATATCCCAAATATCTTTGCCACTGATCTTTTTCTAGTACCTAAAATTTCTACCAATATGACATTTTATACAAAACAATTGAATTATTACTATTGTATCTATAATCATTATTATTATTGCTACTATTAGCTAGTCTACTTGAAGTACATAGTTCTTATTTATTTAACAGCTTTAGTATGAATTATTTTAAAAATTAGGCATTTCTTGGGTTATTGATCTTAGTGAATCATTGAGTCTTAGACTTCAGCATTGTACTAGGCACCAAGATGATTTAAGCCTTATTTCTGTATACCCAACTAATGGAAGGGTTTAGTTTCATGATATTTGGTGTTCTTGGAATTAAGTATGGTCTATGTATAATCAAAAAGTTATCCCTAATTATTTGTTCAAGGAAGTATTACTGATAACTATCTACATTTTTCCAGTATTTCTGTTTTCAAATTCAATATAACAAATAAAATTGTAAATATATCTGAATCTGAATGAGTATACAACTATCAAACAGGTGTATCCATTATGTTCAATAATTACCCACTGACTACCTGAAGGAGAGTGATTAGTAAGCCTTTGAAGTATGCTTTCATT